CCCCCAGCCTCGTCCCATCTTCTGTTCCCTTCAGACCAGTCTCCTCCCCTGCCCTATACTTGTTCCTTGGGCTGTGTCTCTAAGCGACCCTCCTGCCTTGAAAGTCTCCCTCGCTCACATGTCCCTACACACTTCCTTCAATACCCAGCTCCCAGCCCACCTCTTCCAGAAAAATCTTTCCTCTGACAAAAGAGGTGGGCTTAAAGCCAGATCGCCTCCTTCCCCAACTGAATTACCTATGGTGACTTCCACAACCCCATGCCAAACTAAGCACAGTGCCGGGCAGATATAGGTGAATAGTAACAATGACAATCATTCATAATACTGAATAATAAAAACAGCAAACATTTGAAGCATTTACAATGTGCTAAGCACTGCGCTGAACACTTCACACATTTTAATTCATCTATTGAATGCCGGCTGGCCATATGGGATTAAACACCTGCCTCTCTGCCTCCAAAGCCCAGCACAAGCATCACCTCCTTGGTAGAGTCTTCCCCATTGGTCTCAGGCAGAATTAATATTCCCGTCTCCATACCCACAGTGCCTGGTCTATTGTTGACCTAATTTCACTAGCTCTTAATTATTTATCAAAGCGGCTGCTTCCCATTCCAGCCTGTGAACATCTTAAGGGCCAGGACCCTGTTATATTTATCTTTATTAGCTTCAGTGTCCAACAGTGACTGGTACATAGTTGCTCCTCATTAAATGTTTGTTGAATGTAGGCACAGATGAATGGAGTAATTAACACAATATCCCCCAACGTTCATGGGATTTTAAAGAGGCCATTTTCCTAGCCTCATATGTCACAAACATTCTAGACCAGTGCTACTCCAAGCATGATCTACAGAACGGCACCTGTCTGCAAACTACATGTTGCTGGGTTATGACCAGGTAAGTGCAGAAATGGAGAGTAAGCATTTAGATGTGGTTTTTTGTTGTTTTTGTTTTGTGTTTTTTTGTTTGTTTGGTTTTTTGTTGTTGTTGTTTTTTTGAGACGAAATTTTACTCTCATCATCCAGGCTGGAGTTCAATAGCGCGATCTCAGCTTTCTGCAACCTCTGCCTCTGGGATTCAAGCAATTCTCCTGCCTCAGCCTCCTGAGTAGCTGGGATTACAGATGTGTGCCACCATCCTTGGCTAATTTTTATATTTCTAGTAGAGCCAGGGTTTCACCATGTTGATCAGGCTGGTCTCAACCTGACTTCAGGTGATCCACCCACCTCGGCCTCCCAAAGTGCTGGAATTACAGGTGTAAGCCACTGTACCCAGCCACATTTATACATTTTTAAGCCATTTGACAGAATAGTTTTATATCCATATGATGTGCTAGTGTTTAAAACTGGGCTTTCATTTTGTCTTTTTTTAATTGCATATTTCTTTTTTCTTTTCTTTTCTTTTTCTTTCTGCTTTTTTTTTTTTTTTTTTTTTTTTTTTTAAGACCGAGTCTTGCTCTGTTGCCCAGGCTGGAGTGCAGTGGCAAGATCTGGGTTCAATGCAACCTCCGCCTCCCGGGCTCCAGTGATTCTCCTGCATCAGCCTCCCAAGTAGCTGGGATTATACGCGGACACCACCACGCCAGGCAATTTTTGTATTTTTAGTAGAAATGCGGTTTCACCATGTTGGCCAGGCTGGTCTTGTACTCCTGACCTCAAGTGATCTGCCTGCCTTGGCCTCCCAAAATGTTGAAATTACAGGCGGGAACCACCACAACTTGCCTTTTATTGCATTTTTTAATAATTCATTCCTGAAGCGTTTTGCAATTATATTGGCCTGTGACAGATTAGAAATATAAAAATACAGAACCAGTCCTTTGCCACAGTTGTCTGAGAAGTATGGTTCCAGACCATCAACCTTCCTGGGATGGTTAAGCCAGTGGAATCTCACAGGCAGGAGGTGTTTCTTCAGCCCTCCCCACCTGGGTCTCACCAATCATTACATCAACTCTGTCTCTCCTACTGTTTGGAAGGACAAGCAATTGTCTTTTATTCCTGTTTGGGATCCTCACATTTCTCCTTTCTTCCAAATCTGGCAGATTAAATGAATGAAAGCCGATTCTGCTGCGGGCCTGGACAGGAAGGGGAGAGGGCAAGGGAGGGATGGGATGAGAAAGGAGTTTGGGGAAGATCAGGCTGGGAAAAGAATGCTGGAATGGAGTAGGAGCCTGTCCTGAGGAGGGTGTGCAGAGGCTGCTAAGATCACCCCAAGCCATGGGGCTGCTCTGGCTGGGGCTGAGAGGGGAGGGGGGTGTGGGAGGGAGGGACAGGGCAGACACTAGCATCTTCACCGAGCCCAGGAGATGAGAGCCAGGCCCTTGAAGGTGAAAGAAAGTAGCTTCAGGACAAATGAAAGGGGATATTGAACCTTTTTACAGAGGGACTGTTAAGTGCCAAACTCTCATAACCCCCCTCAGGCTGCCAAGGCCAAAACTATAAATAAGCAGGTCAAGGAATTAGGCAGAAACCTCCCTCCCCCTGCCTGCCAGTCTGCAGCTTCGGTGGGATGTGGTGGGGTGGAGGGTAACTCAGTGAAATCAAAATGGACAGGATGAAATGTGCTATATGTAGACGCCACTTCAGAAAGCGAGAAGGTCTGACTCCTGGGCAAAAAAGTCAGGAAGAGCCAGACTTGATTGCAGTCCAATCAATGGCATCAGCATATTTAAAGATCATGTCAAGGAGAGGATAATGGGGCTCAGAGAGGCAAAATTTGATGGTGTTTATTAAGCAGAGAGAAACACAGAAGCTGGAACTGTCTAGTCCCTAGAAAGTGTGCTCCAAGGTGGGGCCAGGGAGGGAGCGGGGCCTTGGCCGGGCCTGGGCAAAGCTCCCAGAGGACCAACCGGCTTCTTCTCCTCTGATTCCCAAATCTATTGCTGCTGGTGACTTTCTGATCAAGAATTCTGCTGCCCACAAAGAATTGCTTAGAGGGAGGGACCAAGCTGCCCCTCACACTTGAGCATCCAGTCCACTCCATTGTGATGATGATGTTGATGTTGATGGTAATGATAGTATTGGTGACAACAGCTAACCCTCATTAAGTTCTTGCTATGTGCCAGGCTCCGTTCCGAGCTCTTCACAAATATCAGCTCCTTCTAAACTCCCCAACCATTCTCAGAAGAGCATTTCTACTCCGATTATATAGATGAGAAAATTGAGGCATTGTTAAATAATTCTCTAACTTTATACAGCTTGTAAGCGGGAAAGCCAAGATTCAAAGTCAGGCCGTCTGACTCCAGAACCTGCATGACTTCAGACTGCCCTGCACCTAATTGTTGTTGAGACCAGTTAGTTGGCCAACTGCTTAGCACATCCATCCCATCTGGGGTTGGCTGGGGTGAGTCAGTGCCCAGCTCGGCACAACCATGTGGGTTTTGCAAGACTTGGGACTGTGTGCTTCACCTAGAAAGTGCCAGGTGTGTGGCTAAGCCATGTGAGCAGCTGGCTTCCTGGGCAATGCCCCTCCCCACTTCAGAGCCCCAGGCCCCTTTAGGGCCCAGCCCTCCAGGTGCTGTGAGCTGGGAATCAGGAGAGCGAGGACTAGACTTACCAGCTGTAGGACTTTGGACAGGTCACCACCCTCTGTGTGCCTCCATTTTCTCACCAGTAAACTCTATGTTGGATCATATGACCTCTTAAAATGACTCCATCCCCAAATGAAGGCCAGTGGACCATGAACATGCTGGCTCTTGCCCAATGTGCTGAGAAGCAGGCGGGAGGGAGTAGTAGGGTGGGCACAGCAATGCACAGGATGAGGGCAGGTGGGTTCAGTTTGATTTCAAAGCCGGTTGCCCGCGCCCCAGGTGCTTTGGTGTACCCTATAGGGGTTGCATAGGCCAGGCAGCCTAGGCTCTGCGGGTGAAGATTTCTCTACCTCCCAGTGACTCCTCTTCTCCCTTATCAGCTCTGATAGGAGAGAGGAAGAGGGAAGAGGACGTCAAAAGTTCTGTTCATCCGGAAGGGCTAGGAGTTGCTTCCTGGGATGGGGAGCTCCTGAGCCAATCCAGAAGACGACCCCGGAGTCTGGCGGGAGCCCCAACGCTGCCCTGAGGGCTCAGCCGGGAGGGGGCGCTGTGGCCTTCCCACGCCCTGCCCACGGGCTCCTAGCTCAGTTCGCCTCGCTGCAGCGCAATCCGCACTCGGCTTTCCCCAGGGCTGCGTTCAGTGCCCGCTTGTCCTGAGGGGCACCGCCATCTCCCTTTCATCTTGGGGCTCCCAGCTCCAAAAGGTGCCCAGATCCAGCCCCTTGCCTGAACCAAAGTGGGCAGGCACTCAGTTTGTAAGATGAACGAATGAAGGAAGGAACGAACTAATGAATAAGGGCTCATCCTAAAGAGCGTTCGCGTCTCAGCGCGCACCAGGCACATCAATGCCAAAGGTGCCGGCAGTCGGGCCCGGCGCCCGGAGCGGCTGGATTGGGGGCGGCGAGGAGCTCCCGCTAGCCCGCTGCAGGGCGGGAACTGCCCAAACGCAGGTCGCAGCTTCCCCGGGTTCCGCGGCGGCTTCGCTCAGTGGGGACTGCCCTGTTCCACCGTCACCAATAGCCTCGCCCTCATAAATTCACCTGAGCACCCCGCCCAAGTGCCCCCGGCTCCCCTGGACTTCCCAGGCCCGGACCTCTGCCGGACGGGAGGCGGGAGGCTGCATCCTCGCCCGCCGCCCCCTCCCCCATCCCCATCCCCATCCCCGGCTTCTCCCCGGGCTGCGGCGGCCGCCACCGCCGCCAGCGCGCCCCGAGGACTGCCGTAAACCCGGGCGTAGGGAAAGGGGATCCTGGCGGCGGGGCGCAGGCAGAGGGCCGGGTGAAGGGGAGGGAGCGGGGAGGGAGCCGAGGGGCGAGCCGCGGAGGAGGGACCGAAGGGGAGGAGAGAGGAGGGGAGGGGAGAGGGAGAGGAAGAGGGAGAGGGAGAGGAGGGGGGAGGGGAGAAGGGGGAGGGGAAGGGAGGGGAGGGGACGAGCTGGCGAGGGGGCGGGGAAACGAGGCGAGGAGCGGCGCGGACCGTGGGGGAGGCGGCAGGGGCGAGGCGGGCAAGAGGCGGCCTCCGGCCGGGCTGAATCGGGAAACGGCGGCCAGACTTCCCCGGGAAGGGGCACGCGAGAGCCGGCCGGGCCGGGCCGCGGGGCCGGGGAGCGTGGAGCCGGGCACCTCCGCACCGGGCAGCCACCGAGGAGTCCGGCCGCCCACCGCGTGCTGCCCGAGCCCGCAGAAGCCCGCCGGCCTCTCTGGGATGCCTGGGGGACCCGGGCGTTCAGGACGATAACCCAGCGAGCCCGAGGATGGGACGGCACCCGCAGCTACGGCTTGTCAAGGTAAGAGCCGCCGGCCCGCCCTCCAGTGCGGGCGCCCCCGGCCCCTGGCGGACGCGGGACGGGGCCCGGCTGTGGGTGCGCCGGGGGCGGGGGCGCCAGGAGAGCGGCGGTCAGGTCGGGGAAGGCTGGGCTCTGGGGCAGCCTAACTCTCTGGACCTTTGGAGCCAGGGTTTGGTGGGCAGGGGGAGACTCAGGTGAGAAAAGAAATCGTGGCGGAGCCGCTGGGATGTTGGCGAAGGAGGGGTCCGCCCACCTGGGTAGCTGTCTCCGCGCCAAGAATCGCTCTAGGCTTTGGGGCAGACGCTGGGTTCTGCCTCCCACGCCCTCCCTGCAGACCCCGGCCCCGGGACGGGAGGCGCTGAAACGGGGTTCCCGCCTCGCCCCAGCACCCCCTCGTAGCTCCCCGACTCCGCCCGCCCCCGCCGCAGTCCCGGGAGCGCGTCCTGCTGCTCCTTCTCCTCCGCGGCAAGCTGGGAGTCCAGGGAGATTAATGCCGCCCGCGCCTGCTAGCCCTTGATCAATATCGCAGTCTCCGGGGAGAAGACGGTGCCTCTGGCGGCGGTTCCCATTTCCCCGCCGCGGCCCGGGAGCGCGACACTCGCTCTCCGAGCCTGGGCATCGAGATCCCCGCGCTGCACAGCCGAGCCTACGACGCGGATCGGGCGCTGGAGTTTAGGAAAGTCGCCAGACCGTACGTCCAGCGTCTGCCCGCTGAAGTTCGTGGGCAGCGGGGGCGGCCCGCGGGCCGTGTGCGCCCGAGAAGGGCCGGGAGGCCGGCAGTCTGGCCCGCCGCTAGTGCCAGGCGTCACTTGCAGCCCCGAGCGCTTTCCACAGCGTTCTGGTCTTGCAAGGTGTAGGCGCGCCCGCTGCAGTCGGCCGGAGGAGCGGGTGGGCCTCTGCGAGGCTGCTGGGAAACCCCGTGCCGCGCCCGCCTGGGCACCGCCTTGCCCGGGGCTCGGGACCCCGCAGGGTCCGCTTCAGCCACAAACGTAGACGCCAGCCTGACCCGGTTCAGGGCGTTCAAAGCGATTACATTAAAGAGACTTCGGTGGATTTGGGGGAGGGGTGCGAATTGGCAGAATTTCATTTTTCCATCAGTTATTAAACCAACTGTACGTATACCGGCTTACCAAGTGGTTTGAGTTAAAGCACCAAGATTTTTCAATGAGACGTTAGCTGAGGCGTTACAAGTTACTGAGGTTTTTCTCTAATCGTGCCCCACCCCACATGTTTATAAATTGATTCTTAAAATGACTGAGGGTTGGTCTCATTGAACCCACATCCCCACCCCCGTCTGTTAACTGAGGGCTGGAGATGAACTCAGAGATTATATTCTGGGCATTCAAGGAGACAGACAGATGAGGAAGGTGAAGAAAAACATCCAGAGAGGTCGAATAGGTGGCACTGAATGGGAATATTTTCCAAAAGGCTTGTGTGTATCGAAGCCTGGTCTAAATGCACAAACCAGTTAGACCAAATTCAGTCTTTTAAATGGATTCAAAGGGTTGAAATGTGGGTGTGTGGTTTTTTTTTTTTTTTTTTCAAGTTTACACTGAAATAGATCAATGTTCTTTCTCTGGTCTTCCTTAGAGTTGTATGCAAATCTCTGTATAGAATGATCATGTTTTTCTTTAAAAAAAAAAAAAAAGTCTTTATTTCTGTTATTCCTACTAGATGGTGGCGTGTGTGCCCTTTATGACTGGCCTAATAAATTCAGTAAGCACTCAGCAAATACCAAATGAGTGAGGCGCAGCCAGGGAACGGTCAGCAAATGCTGGTTTCAAAAGCTGGTTTCTATTAAATGGTTGCTTTTTTTCTTTTATTTATGTAGTATGTACAATTCGCTGGGCATTATTCTACCTGCTTTGCAAATATTAAGTTACTGAGTCCTCCTAACAGCCCTAGAAAGTAGGAATTATTCCTGAGACACAGAGAGGCTAAGTAACTGGTTCAGGGTCACACAGCCAGTGAGTAGTGAAGTCAGAATTTAAACCTGGGCACTCTGATATAAGGCTTTGTTTTGTTTGCTTTTACCAGAAAATATCTTTTTTTCTTCTTTTTTTGGGACAGGGTCTCACTGTGTCACCCAGGTTGGAGCGCAGTGGCATGATCTCAGCTCACTGAAGCCTCAACCTCCCTGGGCTCCAGTAATCCTCCCACCCCAACCTCCAGAATAGCTGGGACCATAGGCATGCACCACCACACCCAGCTAATTTTTGTATTTTTTTTATAGAAATGGGATTTCACCATATTGCCCAGGCTGGTCTCAAACTCCTGGGCTCAAGTGATCAGCCAGCCTTGGCCTCCCAAAATGCTAGGATTACAGGCAAGAGCCACGGCGTCCAGCCATCACCAGAAAATATTCTAAGCCCCTTAAACCTCACCCTAGATCTCAGCCAGATGAGAGCCCAGGTAGTTTTGCCAGCATGAGAGTACAAATCTAGGGACTTAGTGTTCATCCCAAATCTAGCGCTGTCCCCAGCAAGTCAGCCAGTGCTGGGAAGGGTCCACTCTGGGGCCTATATTGTGGGCCTCGCACTGTACCAGCTACAGAGTCCTGGGGTGAAATGCACGTGAATGGGGAGAGACAGGGTGTGTGACGGTGTGTGCGTGAGTGGGGAGAGACGATGTGTGTGCAAGTGGCCATGAGTCAGAAGACAGGCAAGACATTGTCTCTATTCCCAGGAAGGGGCAGGGGCCTGAGCACCTGGGAGTCACCTACGCACCCACTGCAGCTCCTCGCAGGGAGGTGGAGTGTGACTGTAAACACAGGTCCCAGTGTCTGTGAGGGGTGCAGAAGGCAAGGCCTCTCCATGGGTTCTAACAGGAGAGTGATCTCCCAGGTGGAAGCTGGTTTTGTTATTATTGTTATTCTTATATAAGCAACTTAGCAGCTATAGGCAAAGTTTGAAAAACAGGATGGAAAAATGATTGCAACCTCACTCTCTGAATCCAGCTGTTGTGTAATTCATTTAAGAAATACCCCCCACAGGTCCCCTTCTTAAGCACCTGTCTGGGAGCAGCTGTGGCTGCCGGGCAGCCCACTCCCCAGTGTCACAGCCCAAGTCTGTTTCACGTTATCCTGAGCCTCCTTGGGAGAATATGTCTGCATGTTGCCTGTGAGTGAATGGACTTTGCCATCCCTATAAGGGTGCATATCTGGGCCATTTCCAAGTTGTTTCTTTGATTAAATGATATGGAGCCAGGTTTTCGAGGGGAGCGTTGGCAGGAGCCATGAGGAATGAGAAACGATGAGCCCAGCGTGTGCCAGTGGGCTGCTGCAGCCTGCGGGAACTACTGGCCTGGCCACAGACTAGGGGCAAAGTTGGGGAGGGGCCCAAAAGCCAGGCCAAGGCCCTCGGATTGAAAATGACCAGCCATAGAGAGGAGTGTGTAGATAACGGAAAAGTAGAACACTCACCCAGAGCCAGTGAGGACGAGCTCAAGTGGAAAATCCATTTCTCACCCTCTCTAACATTTGGCTCCTCAGAAAGCATCGGCCTCCAGCCAAGTTCAGCCACACACAGGGAGTTTGGGGGTCAGAGGTGCCACCACCCCAAGTGCCCATGATACCTGCCAAGGCCATGGGCCTGAGCTCTGGCCATGGCGCGGCCCAGAAGGAAGCAGTTAGGTGCAGGGCTGATAATTTCAGCAGCTATTGAGGGGGAAAGACCATCAGCCTGGGAGTCAGTGAACCTGACTGGTCTCAGCTCTGCCTCCAATCAGCTGTGTGACATTAGGTAGGTCACCTGCACTCTCTGAGTCATAGTTTGTCTGTAAACAGGGATATTGGACCGGATTCTCTGTTACCTCTCTCATCTCTCTGAAAAGTCTGTGTTTTCAAATACTCCTCACACGGGAAGAGTGGGGTGCCACGGATTCGATTCCCAGCTCTGCCCCTTCCTAGCTCTGCCCAAGCTAAGGGACCTTGGAACATGGTACTTGGACCTAAGTACTCTCTCTGGGCTTCAGCATCCCCAGCTGTAAAATGGGGGTAAATGCCTAACTCAGAAGGTTGAGGTAAAGACAAAAGGAGTCAATAGGTGGAAAGTGTCTGGAACAGCGCCTGGCACAGCCTGCTTTCAGAAAAAGTTGCAAGGTGGCTACTTTCAGCAGGAATAAGTTAATGCAGGAACAGCAGCCAGCAGCTCCTGGACATGTAATATATTACACATTGTTCATCTTTTACCCTTCGCGGCACCGGGCCTCACAATTGTTGCACACAGTAGGTGTTTAACAAATGTTTGTCAGCTGGATGGATGGTTTTATTGTTGCTTCTGTTTGGTATTGTACAACTGGAAAGAACCCGTTTCTGTTCCCACAGGATGCAAATGTCATGTCAAAACAGAAGGCTGAGAGATGCTCAAACCACCCTAGCAGAAAAGCCATCTCTGATGCAGAAAGGACTAGAACTCCCCCTTAAGCCCACTGTGGTTATTAGAAAAGAGAAAACAACAGCCAACCAACGCAGCACCCTAGAGATCTGGAGAATCCCTTGGGGGTGGGGCTTCAGCCGGTGAAACTCCAGTGCTTTTGCTGTGTCTGGAAGAGGGCAGGTCGCTAGCAGTGATCTGGGCCATTTCTTCCTCAGTGAAAAGAGGGAGTGGGGTGATCTGTCCCAGCTCTGATTCTACCCTAATCACTCACGGTATCAACAAAAGAACCGTGAGCCCGTTTTGAAGGTAAGGCCAGGTCGAGATTTCAGCTGTAGTTTTAATAGTCAAAGAATGAATTTGTTAATTACAAATGATTCCTGTCTACCTAAATTCAGAGGTCCCTGTCAGCAGAGTCCCTAGGAAATTTTTTTTTTTTTTTTTTTTTTTTTTTTTTTTTTTTTTTTTTTTAGACAGGGCCTCACTCTGTTCCCCAGGCTGGAGTGCAGTGGTGTGAACACAGCTCACTGCAGCCTCAACCTCCTGGGCTTAAGTGATCCTCCCACCTCAGCCTCCTGAGTACCTGGGACTACAGGCATGCACCAACTACACCTAGATAATTTTAAA